TCATAAGATGCATTCAACTTTTAAATTGTATCATTCTTTTAGATTTTTAAACATAAAATTTGTTGGCAAAAAACATGATCGGTTTTTATAAATACCAGACAATCACAAAGTAAACGACCAAAGTAACCCAAAAAGAGCCAGATATGGCCACAAAGTTTCATGAACACAATGATGCACAATATTATAGATATATGCGGCTATATTAAAATAGATCTTAACCGTACTCACAGCAAGGAGTGTTGTCCAGGTATCTAGCAAGATATCGCGCGTCTCATAGCTCCAAGTGTCTTCATCAGTACTATTCACCATTAGTACTTTGACAACTTCACCCATTAACATAGATAAGAGTGTAAGGGTACCAAAGGGCCTGAAGAAACAGGAAAGAACAACTATTTTATCAATAATGCATCACCATACGGCTTTTAAGTACAAAAAAATCATATGTTACCTTAGTGATCGCAAGAGTCGGTCAAAGACAACTGGGGTAGTGACTGTCCCAATAGACAACAATGCGCGACAACCATCAATCATCTCACTGGAATAAAAAATTTAACCACGCAATGTCAAACTTAGAATATAGGACATAGAAATCAAACAGGGCAAGAATGTTGAGTAGCTGACCTTCCACTCTTTCCTTCTTCAATCTCCTTTGAAATGACATCAGGAGGATCAATCCAGGGCAACACCCCTGACAGCAGGAGGAGCAGATGCTGCTCTCGCATCTGCGCATTGTCTAGATTACTGAACAAGTCACTCACGGAGAAATATCTATATCTCGATAAGCAAGACGCGATAGCGAAGCAAACTAGATGCCGAGTAATTTTGACGTTTCTATAACATATTCAATAGAAGACTATATTAATTAGAAATAACAAAAAGCATAGAACACTCACCGGATGGAAATATTTCCCCTGCCAAGGAGCACAATTGTACGATAAGTTTCCGAGCAGAGACTGCAACAGGACAATCTGGCCAATAGCCTTCAAGAGCAAACTTCTGCCTCAGCGACGAATATAAATTTATCAGCCATCCAACATGTGAGCTTGAAAGCAAAACATCACACCACGAAGCACCAGGCTGCAATCAGCACCACTGAAGGTGAGATTTATGAAGAGTCCATGAAAGTGTCTTAAAAGAAAAAAAGTATAAACTCTGACACGCTAGTATCACCCGATGTGATCTCTCTGAATTTGAACAAGTTAATGAAGTACAAGCACAAGTCAAAAGCTACCTGAACTATTACACACTCTGTCTTTCTTGATGATGCAGTACCAAGTCTAATTCCATCAGAGAATACATTAATGCTGGCCCTTGTGCCACCTTTGCTGTAGCGAAACTCCCAATTTAGTATCTGATGCATTAGTCGCAGTGTAGCATTGCAAACTTTAACCTCAGGGACACAAGAATGTGATTCGATAATCTTGTTTGTAACACTTAAGGCAGCATCCTGTGCCCACCGATAGAAAGTCTGCAATTGTAAACATAGAAAGTAAACAACACATTTCTAGTAACACACCCCTCCGTACAGGCTATTATTCTTCCACAGACAAAAGGAAGATGGTGTTACAATATTTGGAAGCAAATGCAATCATACGAGCACCTTCAAAAAGTTCTGTTCTAGTGACTTGCGACAGTTTTCATGAAATTCCCTAGGGAGACCCATGGCACTTGAAGTAGAGGGTGAGAATTCAGATACCTGAGATGAAGAATTGTGAGCAATTGAGCACACATATGGTATACATACAACGCCAGAAAAAAGGATAACAGATCATTACCAATGACTCAAGAAAATTTATACCGATGAACTGAACATCTAAGCCACGAGAACCAAGAATAGCCTGGTTGATCTGTAAAGAGCAGTTGTTAAAGGACAAAAGAAGATCCATACCATGATCCTTTTAACAAACATTAATATTAGACGATTCCAAATTGTATTTTTTTTAAAACAAGTAACAGCACTACTGCAATTTTTATTTCAATTTCAAATATAAAGCCACGACTCAAGGTATACCCTGATAACTAAACTATTACCGCAAAAATGTAAACCCCTAATTCTTTTTATTAGGGCATGGGGCATATCAAGACATATCTAACTGAAATAATGAAGGCAGATATTGTAAAGGACCGTTACTACTCAATCACCCAAATGATTACCAGTGAACCTATTCAATCACTCTAAATCCTTCCTGGTCCATATATAAGCTATTACGTGTACAGTAGCCAATAACAGATAACAACATATATGCAGCTAATGCTAGTCAAACTGTAAAATACAGAAACTAAAATCAGAATCCAAAAAAATTACAAAACAATGTAGATACCTGATAAAAAAAGACTTCCTTCTCAGCTGGAGTAAACTCAAGCCTATAAGAGTTATTTATTCAGATTAGAAGTTCCCTTAGATGAACTAAGCAAGTAAAATATGAATTCCAGAAGCTTACCAGCCTCTTTTCATCAGCTGCGCGGCCACAGATGATACTTTTGAAAGCACATATCCTTCTAGTGAATTAGCATGCTGCATGGCATAGCCAAGACAGAAGCTGCAGAAAGATTTATCCATATTTCAGAAATTTTTATTCGTATGACCAGAACCTCATCAGAACACCTCTAGTTTCTTAAATGATATTGTCATGATTATCATGTAAAATGATGTGTGTTCATACCAACCACTAAACATTACATTCAAGAAGTGGTAGGTTTCACAGTCCAGGAAAGCTGCAGTATCCCAAAACTACAATATTGTGAAGCATGAATACTCCCAGTTGATTTGCAAAGCCAATCAAAAGTACAAAATTGACACCAAGGGAACCTCCTGATAGAGCAGAGGGTGACTGCTCAACTAACTAGAAGCTTAAGCAATCATCACCCAAATCCCAAATAAAATAAAAGATTTAAAATTACCTAATTAAACCACCTTTATCATCAGTGGCAAGAAAACTCCATTCCCTGATAGCGGCTTCTCGAATAGCTGCAGCAGCTTGAAACCTAGCATTTGCTACCTGAGAATTTTCTGGAAATATAAAAACATTTTCAGTCAAACAGCTGTAACTTCCCAAGTTCACTAGGCTAGTCGAGTAAAGTTCCAGATTCAGCCGAAAGACTTACCAAGAATATATCTACACGCTTTATATGGCTGTGGGGACTGGTGAAGCGACAATATGGTTGCTTCAGAAGCAGCTGGGTTAGTATTTATCTGCTAGGAAGAAAGGAAAAATGTCAAATCTACGTGAAACTGAGCATCCTCCGAAGTCCTTGTCTCGGTTAAACACAAACAAAGACCATCAGAATCACATGGAAATGTAGAAGAATCTTGTTTCAGAAATGCCTAATACCATCATGCCCTTTATAAGCAGAAAGCCAACACACAGTCAACAGAGACGCACTGATAAACAAACACCATTAAACTCATAACGCAAATTGATAATTTTCAATACTCTACAGTAACTTCAATTCGAAGCCAAACAAATTACGAGAAGAAAACTCCATAAATGAAAGCACGCATCTACAGCTTCCTCCAATTTATAAGGAAACCAAAACAGATCACACAAGAGATAAGATACTGAGTGACACACTAGTTTATGCGTATGTATAAAGGAAGAAGCAGAAAAGGAAAAAAACCTGAATGTAAGAGCAAGCAAGTTCAATCGCGCGCATGGTAGATTGGAACTGAGCCAAATCCTCAGCTCCAACTCCTCCACCACCACCGCTTCCATTAGAAAATCCTAACATCCTCTCCCCGAAAACGCCGATTCCGGTAGCCGGAAAAATCGACAAGTCTCCTTCCTTATTCGAGTTAATCGGAAAACGATAGAGAGTGTT